CTGGTATATTCATTTTTGTTGATACATGTCTATATTTTTTTTTTGCGTTGGGGAGGAGGCCAGCTTGACATTAAGCTGGCCGCCCACAACGCGTGTCGGAAACTCAGATTCCAGACGTAATTATAATAAATAAATTTGTTGCTCGATCGAATTTAGGAGAGTCCAGCTTGACATTAAGCTGGACCCTTCCAATTTTCGGAAGGGACGCGATTTCCTGCCAAACGGCTGGAGCAACAAAATTCGAACTAGAGCAACAAATTAGCACATAAATAGCACTAAATTTTTATATGTATATGAACTTGATTTGCGATGGTGCGGGTTTTAGTTTAATAAGGCTCGAATTTGGTTAGTTCCCTAATTTTGCTTTTTAAAACAAACCTATATTTTAATTTTTTTATTTTAGGATTTTATCTCTTTATTCATATTATCTCTATTTCTCTCATAACTCTCTATTTCTCTATTTCTTTCATAACTTTGAATTTAAAATCAAGAATATTGGTAATGTCTCGCGCCAAGCGCCAACGTTTTACGAGTGCAAGATCGACAATATATCTCTCTCTCTAACGCGAGCCGGCCAGTTAGCAAATACCTGAGACTATCGATCGATTAAATAATATTTTAACAAATGTAACCATTAACTTTCAAATTTAAAATATTGATTATTAATAAAGTTATATTATACAAAATGTAAATATATGGGAGGACTATCACACTACTTTTTCTCCTAAAATTTGAATTCAAATATTAAACATAATTTGAAATATCCTAAACATTTATTATTATAACTTAAGTTCTTAAATGGAATTTATTAAACTTCACATTAGTAATTGTGCTATACATTTTCATTTTAGTAACATAATATATATAATATACATATTCGAACTATCTCTTTTCGAAATAATAAAACTCGATGTTTTCGTTACATCAATTTAGTAATTATAAGAAAATAATATTTTTTTATCTTCATGCGAATTGTTTTGTTGTATCAATGATATTATTTCAAACGC